CGTCATTCTCTAGTTGTCTGTTATTGTTGGTTCTCAGTCCACAGAATTTAGGATGTTTTTCATAGCAGGGTTGGCTTACAATTAATCCTGCTAATAATTATCCCCATTGAATCATAAAACACAATCAGCATCACTTCCTGTCCCTTCCCTTTTCAGCAGATCCATCTGGAGAGGAGGAAAATTCTTCAGTGGGGATTCCACTGTTTTAGAACCATCTTGTTTTAAAACTAAACACTCATGAAAACTTGTAATGCAGTCACTTTGTGCCTACATAGACCACTATTTTTGATCTCCAATGTCCAGACTGCCCATCCCTATCAAACCAGTGCACTGAGGAAACAAGTTTGTTCCTTGATATGAAGAATCCTGCCATTCTGATTGGAATTTTGAACAAATGCATCCATAAGCAAAGGTCCAGTTTCATCAAATGATAGCAATTTATACTTGGTCACAGTATCAAGTATTTTTATCTTCACCTGGTGGAGTTCTGGTCAGCTAGCCATCCAAGCTAGATCAAATGTGTATGGGCTGAACATTTGGGAGTTCATGAACACCTCCCTGGACTTAAGACCAGATGGATGCTTCACTCTCAGCTCCAGCCTGCAGTAGTAAGCTCACTGCCCATGGGCTCAGGAGAGCACACAGCTCCCTAAACTTCAGACCAGCCAGACCTTCCTCTACTCTCTCATCTTGAGATCACCAGGCATCAATTGAATAGGGCCAAACTCAGCTCATGTCTTCATTCCCACATTTCCCTCAATTCCAATCACAAGCAGACTCAGGTGGTCACCAGTGAGGATACCACATAGCTCCCAGGATCCCTTTGAGTTTCATTCTTAGAAGGGGATTTTCCCTGAAGGGCTGACCTTTCTTTCCCTGATGCCTCAAAAGCAAACAGCTTGCTTGATATACAAACAGCTAAACAGTCTATATTTTTGCTGTCCTTTCTTTCAATAAGTTCTCCCAGCAGTTCTTGTTTGGTCTTTATGTCTTTTCAATTGGGAATGTTCCAAATCAGAAGGGTCAGGGTGGGAATCAGGATTCCACCTAAGGTCCCGTACTATATAATACGTAACAAGAAATTAAAAAAAAAAAAAAAAAAAACTTAACAAGAAGCCTGTTTCCCTGAGCAAATTCTACTTCCCTTTTAGGAAATCCAATCAGTCATAGGCTGAAGATAGGCTTACAAACTTTCTGTAGTCTGAATGTATCTTCTGGGGATAGAGCAAGCCTGATGTCTGAGCATACCATTGCCCATACACATTGCAAATGTATGACTTCTTGCCTGACTGTGTCCTCTGGTATTATGAGGTTCCCTCTCTGGTTAAAGCCTTGGCCATAATCTTTGCACACGTGAAGCTTCTCTCTGGAGTGTGTCCGCTGGTGCTTAAGGAGGACAGACTTGTGGGCAAAGCCTTGGCCACACTCACTGCCAATATATGGCTTCTGGTCTAGTGTGTCCTCTGGTGAGTCTCTTGTGACTCATAGCAATTTAATTTTTCTATGAGCTTTTTCAAGTCCCTTTATAAATTAGGTTCACCTCATACTTGAAGGTAAGCCCAGGAAAGACAAGGCTTTTTAAGTATGACATTTCCTAACATGTTTTCAGTGTCTAGAATATCATCTGGTCTACAGCAAAAACAATACAAATAAACTTGAGAAAATAAATTCTATTTAAATCCAGGGCCAACCAGTTGGTTTTTTGTTTGTTAATGTTTTATTGTGAATTATATGATAGTTTACATGGGAGAACATTAGTTTTACTTTCATTCTGTTGTATATCATTTCATTGCCATGGTTACAATCCCCTTCATGCATCATCAACCAACCAAAGGGTATACCCTGCAAGCCTGTCCCCTACACTCCCCCCCACCCCCCAGTCTTCAGCATGAAGTCACTCTCTCTATCTGGAGGATCTAAAGTCCCCAGCTGCTCCATCACTCCATGTCAACTAGTGAGGCCTGAGATGGAGGCAGAGACAATGACATGGAGAGATGGAGCAGCTGGGGACTTTAGACACTGAGAGGGAGGAGGGGCTGTGTGCAGATGATGGGGGGTGTGATGGGAGGCAGATTTGTAGGAGATGCCCTTTTGGTTGGTTGATGATGCATGGAGGATATTGTAACCATGGCAATAAAATGATATACAATAGGTGAATGTAAAACTAACATTCTCCCATGTAAACTATTGCATAATTCACAATAAAACCTTAAAAAAATTGTCTATCAAAATCCTTAATCCAAAGGAGGGAATGTGTGAGAAATGGAAAAATTAAAGTGCAAATGCAGTCTCTAGTTTTCTGACATCAGAAGAACTGGATGGTGTCTGGTTACCACTTTCAGGTGCTCTAAGGGTAAACAGATTATAAGGTCTTAGATAGAGTAGCAGGACCACAATGCCCTAGGATGGCAGTCTTCTCTGTTTAATCCAAAGTTTAGGCTTCAGTTGATCACTGAGCATCTTCCTGGAAGGACTACTGTTGATTGTTAAACCTTTTTCCTGTCAGTATTCCAATACTGGCCTTTGAGAATCCCAGAAAACTGTAAGCATCAGTTTCCCAGTTGGTGGTTTATTTTTGAACTTTTTCTTGGTCAGTGATTAAGGATGTTTCCATTCCATACTCTGCTTTTATTCTTTAACTTGTAGTGATTTTTTGTATCATTAAGGATATTTAAAGATACGTTGACCTTCCTTCCAATATGGGTCCAAAGTTTGCTTCCAGACATGCTTCTCTCTGTGCATCTCCATGAGTTGTTTCGGGTCGCATCCCACTCAAACTTTTCGAAACCAGTCTGTTGGGGATTATTTCATAGGTTGAGCCAAAAATTGCAGTCACCCATCCATTCAAGAGAAGCATTTCATGTGCATACTCAATGTTGTTATCAGGCATGGATGTGGACAGGCGCTGCAATAGAACTGGAGTGTGGATAATTATTGACTCATCCTCATAAATGGACACACACTATACGGAATTTTAAGCAACACTGGAGAAAAAGAAGGAATCTGCAAAACACGTTACAACATGGACATACACTGCATAAGATCATTTTAATAGAAAGAATAGGTTTTTTGATGACAGAAACATTATATAGTTCTTATGAGGGTCAGAAGATGAGGAAAGAGAATTATTCATGGGTGACAAGGTTAACATGAGTGAAAGGGCAGACAATATACCAGAAGAGGAAGACTAGCAGAGGAAAGGGGGAAGGTTAACACGGAGGCAAGAAGAGTTTCAGGCAATGGAGATAAATACATGGAACTGATGGTACACGCATGGGATGCAATCACTGTAAGGAGGCAAAGGATCTGGTTTCTTAAATGTGAAGCTGATCATGTGCTCTGTGACCTTTACTAATTAACAAGAAGTTAACAAAAAAGTTGGTTAGCTTTTGTTTTTTCAGAACACCTAGGACAACTTGATCATATTTAAATGAAAGGAAAAAACCAATTCTTATCTTTAGCATTAAGCCTAAGGACAGCACAGTTAAGCAGGATCCAGACTTTTCTCTATCCAACCTCGTGAGTCCATGTAACTCCAGGGAAGCTTTTGAATGGTCCTTGCCAACTAAGTGCAACCTTTTAGAACACAAGGAGATGCTGTCATACCATAATTCTCAGAAATTAGGTGGATGGACATTATAAAACATCTACAATCAAGTTTTCTCTACTGTCCAGCTTTATAAAATCACTAGAGACAAATTACAAACAGAAATGAAATGGTAAATATTTAAATGATAATAACGACTATTTTCCACCTTTGGAGTTTAGTGGGTAGTCCTATGCCTCTTTCAGTACATGCTACCAGTGAAGTGCGACATCCAGGTGTAGAGTTGTAGGACAGGTAAGGTCAGTTTAAACGAGACTGTGGTTCCTAGGAAACCCTATACAGGTTCACCTGGAGTCAGAACCAACTGGAAGGCACTTAACAATAACCTGTCAACAGATGGACTACACAGACACTCCACAACAAAGATAGGAGAGGCCATAAGAAAAAGACACGGGGGAAAATTCTAGAACCCTCAACATCAGAGGAAAGGTAAGAGAAGTGGGCTGAGTGGTTGCTCAGAGGATAAGCTGAGTTTGGATGCTGGGAGAGGAAGACAAACTGGGGAACAAATACATACATGGACAGACTCACCAGGACCATACAGTTACTACTGACACTAAGGTTTAGAAATAGTCTTTATTTTATACAGTGTGCAAACATTTCACTTTGAATCTTTCAAAAGCTGTCAGGAATTACATTAAATATGTTCAGAGACTCTGGTAGCACAGCAGTTTGAACAGATGAACTACACAGACCCTCTACATCAGAGATTTGTTGTTGCTGTTGTTAAGTGCCATCGAGTTGATTCTGACCCATAGCGACCCTGTACAGGGTTTCCGAGGCTGTCAATCTTTACAGGAGCTGAAAGCCTCATCTTTCTCCCATGGAGCGTCTGGTAGTTTCGACCTGCAGGCCTTAAGGTTCACAGCCTGATTCGTAACCACTAAGCTACCAGAGCTCCTTACATCAAAGATATGTCCAGGGACAGGTGACCCTAAGTTACTGGAGATCCGGGCCTGCACTGATGGTAGATGTACGTAGGAATTGTCCACTCCTGTAAGCATAACAGAACAGTGTGGAAGAATAGAAGAAATCACACCTTTACCATCCTGCATGAATGTGTTTTCTTAGAATCCTGTTGCCTAAACGGCTCACAATACGGTTGCACCAAATCTTACGGACCGTTCTTCAGCCTGTGCTTATTTCACCATCCCTGCGCAGCTTCTCATCCCAGCACTCAGGCCACCTCTCTAACCTTTTCTGTGACACTCGGGGTTCTGGGATTTTCACCTGTTTTATTTAGCGTCTTCTGAAATAACTTGTCCTTTGGTGGCGCAACAAAGTTGACTTATCAGCAAACCCTTGGCCACACTGACTCCAAGCATTAGGCTATTCCCGAGTGTTTTCTTTGGAGGTACAAATGTGGTTTCTGAGTAATTCTTGGCTACACTTACTACAAACATATGGCTATTCCCGAGTGTGTCTTTTGGTGAGACAACAAGGTTGACTTCTGAGAAAATCCTCTTCCACACTCACTGCAAACATATGGCTTTTCCCCTGAGTGTGTCCTTTGGTGGCGCAACAAAGTTGACTTATCAGCAAATCCTTGGCCACACTCACTGCAAACATATGGCTTTTCCCCTGAATGTGTCCTTTGGTGGCACATCAAGTATGACTTACGAGCAAACCGTCGGCCACACTCAGGGCAAACATATGGCTTCTCCCCTGAGTGTGTCCTTTGGTGGCACAACAAGCTTGACTTCCAAGCAAACCCTCGGCCACACACACTGCAAACATACGGCTTTTCCCCAGAGTGTGTCCTTTGGTGGCACAACAAGGTTGACTTATGAGCAAATGCTCGGCTACAGTCACTGCAAACATATGGCTTTTCCCCTAAGTGTGTTCTTTTGTGGCCCAACAAATATGACTTCTGAGCAAATCCTTGGCCACACTCACTGCAAACATACGGTTTTTCCCCTGAGTGTGTCTTTTGGTGACGCAACAAATGTGGCTTCCAAGCAAAGCCTCTTCCACACTCACTGCAAACATACGGTTTTTCCCCTGAGTGTGTCTTTTGGTGACGCAACAAGTGTGGCTTCCAAGCAAACCCTCTTCCACACTCATTGCAAACATATGGCTTTTCCCCTGAGTGTGTCCTTTGGTGGCACAACAAGATTGACTTCCGAGCAAATTCTCGTCCACACTCATTGCATACATATGGCTTTTCCCCCGAGTGTGTCCTTTGGTGACGCAGCAAGGTTGACTTCCGAGCAAACCCTTGGCCACACTCACTGCAAACATATGGCTTTTCCCCTGAGTGTGCCCTTTGGTGGTACAACAAGTGTGACTTCCAAGCAAACCCTTGGCCACACTCACTGCAAACATACGGCTTTTTCCCTGAGTGTGTTCTTTTGTGCCAGCGTAAGACTGACTTACCAGCAAACCGTCGACCACAGTCAAGGCACACATATGGCATTACCCCTGAGTGTGTCTCTTGGTGACAGAGCAAATCTGATAACTGAGAAAAATCTTGGTCACACTCATTACAAACAAAAGGCTTCTTCCCTGAGTGTGTCCTTTGGTGGAGGAGGAAGGCTGAATTCTGAGCAAACCCTTGACCACACTCTCCACAAACATGTGGATTCCCCCGGAGGATGGACCTCTGGTTTGTGATGAACTTTGACTTCAGGCCACAGTCTGTTCCATCCTCTCTGCAGCTGACAGCTCCATATCTTGAGGTTTCAACTTCCTTCAGTGTGTCATCTGTTTCAACAGATGTCACCCTCTGCGCTGAGTTGGGCTTTATTCCTACACCTGTGTGGCCTTCTCTCAGCCTTGCTGACACTCTTTGGGGTGGGCTACTGAATTCCCATAACATCTCTCCCTCCACTCTGCTCACACACAAGGTATTGGTGAAGTCATCTCGCTCGTGACCATCTGTGTTTTCTTTCCAGAAACTCTGGTTAGAATCCTGCTTGTCAGGTTGTTTCTGAGACTCTGGTATGGAAGACCCTGAATGGAAGGGACACTCTGCACATAAGCCTGGGAAGTTCTGAAGTACATGTTGACTGAAAATTTGTTGGCAGGAGAAAGACAGAAAACAGGAGAAACAGTGCTGGGTTTCTGGCTTTAGTTCTACAAAAAAAACAAAAAACAAATAAAAGCAAAGATGTCGGTTAGATCAGTCAAGATTGGGCCAAGTGTGATCCAGAAATGACGGGTCAGAGAAAAAGAGGAAGACCCCCAATGAGATGTATGGGCCAAGTGGCAGAATCGATGGACTTAAAAGAGTGGCAACAGTAGTGAGGTTGGCCCAGGATCGGGCAGTGTTTCGTTCTGCTGTGCATAAGGTCACTATGGGTCGGTACTGACTCCATGGCACCTAACAACAACAATAAAGTGTCAGAGGAGACTCAATGCAACTTAACAATGACTGCTGAATATCATGAGCATTCCCTGATAGATTTTGTGGCCCAGGGATGTGGTCTTTGGTAGTGTCTCTTCATGTCCTCTTCCCACATTTAATTAGATTGTCTTTTTTTTTACACGATATTTCATAGTGTATTTAGGATTGATGGAGGAAAAAACGAAAACACTGCTTAGAAACAATTATCCACAGATCAAAAGCTAACAAAATCTTTTTGCTAATGTTAAAATATATAATTCTTTGTAGAGGAAGAGAACAACTTCAAGTAAATCAGGAGATGGTTTCATATTAATCATTCTTTTCATGTACTTCAAATTCGTACTTAATGCCTTTCTCTTCTTGGACAGCAGAAAGAACACCTGGGTATTCTGGAAGAAGTTTGTACTTTTCTAAATCAATTTCAGGAAACAATGTGTCACTTTCAAATTCCTGCATGGTCCTTGTCTCAAAGAGTCTAACATAGCCTGGCTGGTTCATGGCATCCTTGTACACAGAACTCCCGCCTACTATCTAAACTATGTCTACTTTATTCCCTAAATCTGGCTGCTCAGTGAGTTTTAAGGCATCAGCCAGACTTTGGGCAGGTAAATGAGCTCCTGTGGGGGGCTTCCTGAAGTTCTCTACTAAGAACCAAGTTAACTCTTATCTTTCAAAGGTCTACTCTTCTCAGGAATGGCGAACCAGGTCTTCCTACCCATAATCCCCAAATGCTGTTTCCTTTTTGAAGTATCCTGATGTGGTTGGTGCTCTAGGATAAGGCCTGGACTGCTAACCTCAAGGTCAGTGATTCCGATGAGATGTCTTTGACTTGGGGAGGCACTAAAACATTCTATATAATGTAACATTACTCCCTTGTCTCAAATGTTGCTTCCAAAAATATTTTCCCAGGCTCTTGTTTCTACTGGCACTCTTTTGGTGATTTCTTCCAATATACACAGGGTCCAAGTTTTATTAGGTACCTGTCATCTATTTTGCTTTCTCTTCTGTGTATGTTGTCACTTATATTTCATGGTGGACTCGTGCCGTATATCAGAGCCCCTCAGTTTGCCCTTATTTTCCCATTAGTGGTAGTTACACTTGCAGACACATTTACAACATTAATCAACGTTGACCTCCTTTCAATATACAGTGTGCTAACTGGATCTTACTTTATTTCTCAGCAATGGGATTTCCACTTTTGAGACATTTTCACCCTTTAATTTCTTTTGTACTATAATGTTTTGTAGTCCTTTTGTATATAAGATTTGCTGTTTTCTGTCTCCTTATACTTGAAGGCAAGTCCTAAGTATTATATTTAATAATATATTTTTAATGTCTAAAGAATTATCTGGTTCTCAGTCAAAACAAGCTCATGGATGTATATTAGAGTCTGTCTACCTCATTACCAACCCAATTGATGCAGAATAGAATTGTCACAGAGCCAAAAATGTTAAAATGTTGTCACCGAGCCTTTTGTGATTCCCAGAGTGTACAGGACAGAGCAGAACTCCCTCATAGGCAGTAGAAATCTATAAATTTCTATGGAATCATATGGCCACATCAATCTATTGCAAACAGTTGCGTTCAATGGGCCAAAATGTCACTTAGGATCAACCATGTTTAAGTACTAGGCCTATAGGACTCCTGAGCCTATTTATTGTCGTTAAGTGCCATTGAGTCACTTCTGAATCATACTTTAGAATCTGTGTAGGGTCTCTGGAACAAGGTGATGGGTTTGAATCGCTGAAATTCAGGCCCAGCGCATTACCCTACAGCACCAGACCAGGCCTCCCCACTTGGGCACAGAATAATGACAAGTAAGTATCTGCTGAATTCATGAAGGAAAAGAAGACAGCACATCCTCACCCAATGAGAAAAGACTCTGGTATGTCTCAAGCATCACTTCTTTGTAAAGATTTTTCTGCTCAGAGCTCAGTCTCTTCCATTCGGCCTCTGTGAAGACCATGGTGACATCTTCGAATGTAACTGGTTCCTGGTACAAGCGATAAACCAACACACAGCTAATTAAGAATCACGTTTCACAATTTGAAGAGTTCACCGGTGACCAAAAAGTTCGTAGGAATTACTAAGTTCATCTAATTTTGTTCAGAAAACAAGTTGTTCTGGACAAAGCTGAACATCCACCACGGCAAGAAACTCTGTGGGGATCATCAATTATTCACAAAACATACCAGGGCCCTCAAACATGCATCCTCAATGAAAAAAAAAATCTGTGAATCAATTTGAGACCAGTAAGCAGAATTTTAAAAACTGATTTAAAGAATTCATGATGAACAGATGGGATATAAAGGAACAAAAGAAATACTGAGTGGGTTCTAGTGATAAGTATCAACAGATAGTACAGACTGAAAGGAGAACATGAAGGGAAACTTCAACTATAAGAAAAGTGAATAGACAGATAATTTCTGAATGAAATATTTTTGACAAGTTCTGCTAACTATTCTGATGGCCTTTTAAATGATTTCAATGATCTTTTCTAATAATGTCCTTAACTCTTCACTCACACAGAAGAATACTAATTCATCCATGGAAACAGTGGGCAAGAGAATGTAACATTCCATTAAAATGATATTTGTAGACAGTATCTGCACTAGGGGTCATGGCTAATAGTGCAGAAACATTCTCACCTCTCACCTACGTGGAACATCCAGTCCCACCACCAGTACACAAAAAACCAAGTCAGTGGCTGCTACTGCAAAGGCCAAGCTCCAAGATGCACTAAACTACCCCTCCAAAGTCCACTCTGAATGATTCTTGAAGACCCAACTCCTTCCGATTTACCGAGGTGGAAGCCAACCTGTGCACCCAATGTTAGGTACTATGTACTACATGCCCTGATGAATGAGAGGTGATGGGTTAATGTCATGGGGGATGAGTGACACAATACCTAGTACTGTCACTGTTAAAGATAATGGAAATCTTATTAAACATCAACAAATATTGTACCCAGTGACCATGGACTCAATTCTGACTCAGCACCTTTATATGGAGAAATATAATTGCCCCATAGGGTTTCTGAGACTACATTTTTTGAAGCAACCATCTCCAAATCTTGCTCCTGAACAGGCCGTGATGGCTTCATGAGGCCCTTTTGGTTAGCAGAAAAATGCTAATTGATACACCTTCAGTGTCCTGAAAGCATTTCACTGAGGTAAAATTTAAAATTAACTGCCTCCACAACTTACCCATCTTCAATATGAAAAATGCTCATTATGCAGAGACCTACAAATCTCAAAGACCATGGCTTAACTAAACAACTCCAGAAGTGAACAAAATGGTTAAGATTCACCTTGCATAGTGCAGTATTAAGTAACTGTACAAAGTATAAAGTTTTCTTCTAGCTCCTTAATTCAGAGCATTATATAATTAGATATACATCAGGCTTGCCAGGTGGTCAGAACAGGGAATACAGGGTAACCATAAATCACCCACAAAGGATGCAGGAAAGGACCTCATGTGTCAGGAAAGTCTAGTAAAAAGAAAGTTACAACACGGGACTATCACCAAAATCCGGCATGCACACAGGCCTGACTGATCTGACGTGACCAATGAACTAATCATAAGACACTATGAAAAATCAAAATTAAGGTTAGCTTATGAATGCAAAGGTAAAGAAATACATCAGATCCTAGAAAAAATGATGAATTATGGGCCTTACATCATAATATGAAAACACAGGTATCAAGAGAAAGTGTTAGGAATATGCCATCGTCTTCTACTTGTTCTCTCGGGTTTACCAAAGACAGTCACAAAGGACAACAGCATAAAAGTGAAACCAAGAATTCACTTGGCGCTCCGGTGATTCATAAGGTGGAAACCAGTTCTCATCTGTGACAAGGTCTATGGGATCCCCTTTCTTAAACTTTGGCTTGCCTTCCCTCTGTCTCTCTGCCTCCTTTCATGTGCACATTGTGTCTGCACCCTACCAATTCTTTGGAAGGAAGAAGCTCTGAACCAGAAGTGAATCCACAGTGTGAAAACATCAGTATAAAGTCATAGCACTTTCATCAAAGACCAGAGGAATTCAGGGCAGGGAGAAGAGATGTATC